TATATATATATATATATATTCTTTCCCATTGAAACTCTCCACAAAACTTTGGAGCAACTCGCCCTCACGTTGCTTTATTTTGAAGATGTCTTCCTTGTGGGTTTCAACCTTTTGAGCCCCAACATGGGTCTTCATGAAAACATCTGCAAGCATAGTAAAAGAATTAATAGAATGTTCAGCTAAAAGTGTACACCAATTTAAAGCTTCCTTTCTGAGCGTTTGGCCAAATTTCTTGAGTATGACAAATTTGATCTCGTCCAACTGTAAGTCATTACCATTGATTCCGCTTCCACATGCTCTTGAGAATTCATTGTCCCTTCATATCTCGACACATCAGGTATTTTGAATTATTTCAAGATGAGTACCAGAGCCACACTCTGTTTAAAAGGAAGCTTTGCATACCTTTTGGTCTCTACGCCCTTGGCAATCGGTGGGGCCCCGGGTATTGATCTATCAGGACGTGTATCTCCTGCATGAAGATGAGGAGCTCAGCCCTGTACATTTGTTTTGATGTTTGCATGATCCCGGGTCTGCTTATTCCATCCCCCAAACCACAAGGGACCTTCGTTGTTACTGTGTTAGTTGCAATATCTGCTGGAGTCTTAGTCACTATGGAATGAGGAGTCATGGCCGCTCCAGGGGGACTGTTGTTGGTGAAAGAGCCCATAGCATTCTCCATGCATGTCATGAATGTGTTTTGTGCAGCCAACATATTTTCCACCACCTTCTCGAGTCCGAAAATCTTCTTGTGATACATTCCTGTTACCGTGGAATGATGTCTCCGGCCTCTTTGCAGGCCGTATCGTTCTCTCTAATACCTAGTGTTGCCATCCCTATCATCATCAAGAGCCCTGACTTCAGCTGGAAGTCGGGCCTGACCTGCTTCATGGATAGAGGACTGGTTGTTCTCCTGCTCACATCCCCTGAAGTGCTGCGAACCCTGCAGGTCCTCAGACACCCCTGGGCTTGGCAGGTTGACCAAAGGCCTTGGAATGTTTTGTTGGCCATCTACATATGGCTTTCCATGTTGAGTCTCAGACATGGCCAGTGTTAGAAAGTAAGTAACCTTTTGTTTATTTAGAGGGCTTAAAGCAAAAGGATCAAGATGATATCATAGCTTCCGATCCCCATAGAGGCGCCAAATTATTTACCGAAACAAATACTACACTCGTTTTAATTTAGATGAGGTAATTTGACTCAGCACGAAATTTAAGAGAAAAAAGGGAGACTTTTGAAACTTGTGGTATTAAATAATTAAGGGGTAAAAGCTTTGTGGTGCCATAAAATTTGTGTGGTTACAAAAGCTTCTCATTAAGGATAAAATGGGTAAAATAAAAAGTTGAAAGTTGAGTTATTTCCAATTATAGTAATGTGTCATTCTTCTTGGAAGGGACTAATAAGGAAAGTGTGTCATTGAAATTGAAATGGAGTGAGTAATTTATTCGCTTTAACAATCATTTTAATGAAAGGGGTGATTAAAGGCAAGTGAATCATAATCGATATAAAATCCTTTTCTTTCAGAAAGATCCGTAGAATGAGTACGAAAAATAAGACAAAATATATGGAAATGAATTACAAGTCAAGAATTTAAGATACAACAATGAGCTTCGTATATTTTCAAGTGTTCTTTCGTCCTCAAATGATACAGAGAGAGGGATAGAGAGTTGTTTTCTTTTTTTGGATGATCACATCCCTAAGCTTCTCTGAGAAGCTATCTATATATGTGACAAGAAAGCATTTTTTTGTGACAAGACCTTTCGACAATGCTTAAACGACTATTGAAAAGGTGTCTCTGGTTCAATACAAAGCTCGATGATGACTGTCAGAGGGTTGGTGAGAATGCGCTCTAGTTGATGCCGAGGTCAGGGCCTGTTAATTTGAGTGCCTTCCTAAATACTAAAGAATTTTGTTATTTGCCTTACTCCTTACACGTATATATGCTAAGCAGTAAAGTAAGTAAAACAATTTTACGTGGAAAATCATTCGGCTCAAAGGTGCAAAAATCACGACCTACCACGTAGGATTTTAACTTCAACTTCACTAAAATAACTAAACCAAATGTACTAATTGCAACACTTGTAAACCAATACCCTACACTTCTCCTACTTCTACTTGTATGAAATTATTCTAACTTGCAAACTCAGACAATACACCAACTAACATTGTTTGAATAACGTCATGATTACAACTTAATCTTCTAAAACACATGAACTAAACCGATTCAAGAAAATGACTTTTAGAACAAACTTCATGAGAGACTTGACGTAAGTGTTGAACTGAAAATGTTGGGCTATGTTCTTCCATCAATATGAAAAAGGATAGTATTCAACAGTCCATAAGCAAAGTATTTAACTTCCCAATGCTCCTAGATCTTTAGGAGTCCTATGCATAGACAAACTCTTGTTTGCTTGCAAATCCTGAAGTCACAAGGACTCCACAAACCTTGTGACTCGTATCTACCAGATATCCTGCCAGATATCTTTAGGAAACAACCCTTATCGCATCAAGAGTCCTTCCCAGCAATATCAGACTGCAGTAACTTTGTATAAAAGTTACTGCCATATAAGGACCTTCAGCAGGTACTGTAAGAACCTAGTTCTTAGCACACGGTCATTGCAGACACTTGTTAATTATCAAAACTCAATTCTTAAAAAATTTCCTTTTTTTGATGATGATAAAATTTATGCTCATGAACGATGTGATAACTTTGTAAGTAGACACATTATCACACTTGAGCAGAAACAAGAAACAATATTCATCTCCCCCTACTCAATCATCAAAATATAATCAAAACAGTTGTAACACAAACTAAGCAATCATTTAATACAAGATTCATGGCCACTGAGGCTACACCACACGCACACAAAAAAATCATAGCAAATGAATGATGCTGATGATATAAACTATGTGAGAAGCAGGTAAGCAACACAAGAGAATACATTTAGTAGTGCCAAATTAAGCCTAGGGCCTTGATCTAAAAGCATTAAAACAGAATAAACTAGAACTTCCTACATACTAATCAAAAGTAGACATGGAAAACAAAAGACATGGCACCACCGGGCAACTAGAATTAGACACACGATAGGGGGCAAATGACCAAGGTCAAGGGTGAGAGGTGGAGGGGTTCAAGGCCGTCACAAGAGTAGCAATTTGTTGTTCATGAGCCTCTCCATCTTTTGTCATCTATTCCCTAAGTTTCTTTGTTTCCTTCCTTAGTTCATCATTGTCCTTCGTGAGTTTAGCATTTTCCTCCAAGGACAACTCTAACCTTTTCGAAAGCTCAGCAGCCCTGCTGCTTCTAGGAAAAATAGCAGTTCCAGTTGGACCTCTAGCCTTGATCTCACCATAGCCATACTGCATGAGTGTGACTTCATATAGAACATCATTGTGATTACCAAACTTCAGCTCAGGCAGGGAGATATTGGGCTTGTCAAACAACTCAGTCAACATGAAACCATATGGCATAGCATGCTTAGACTTGGAGGTGTCTGCAGCCCTTTCCATGTGTTGGATCATCAAACTAGGGAGGTTGATGGCCTTGCATGTGTCCAGCAGCTCCATCACAACCATGTCAAGCAGAGTGCCCTTATGCCGCCTCTCAAACCTCTACAGAATGCAGGAATTCAACAAATGGAACAACAACTTGTGAAAATGTGTCATGCTATTCTTATACACCTTTTGAGGAGCATCCAACTCAAACTTCCGGGAAAACTTCTTGGTAACCATAATACATGTATCCACATCATTGTCAATTGCTGGCCATTTTTTCTTCAAATAATTTTCAAATCCCAAGGAGGGGATGTTTAACAACAACCCAAGTTCTTCTGCATCAAATTCCAACTCAAAATCTCTCACAAAGCTCTTCACCATTTTGCCATCGAACTGAAAGTTGGCATAGAACTCAACCACTGCAGGCACACATACAGGGGGAAAGGATTTCACAAGCATGTGTGTCCATCCCTGCATGTCAAGCTTCTCTACCAACTATGCCATACCCTTTTCATCAATGTTGGCCAGTATCATCCCATTCAGGACTTTTCTATTTTTGAACTCTGCCATCCCGTCAACTACCTCTGACTCAACATTTTTCTTCTTCCCTCTGATATTCTTCTGAGTGGAGGCAATTGATTTGGTGGGTTTGACATCAGCCCTCTTCGCTGATGGTTTCTTGCTCTTAAAGGAAGGACCAAGTTCATCATCCTCATCCAACTCAACAATAGCTTCAACAGCAATAACTGGATTTCTTATCCTCTTGGCACTACTAGCTTCCTTGATCATTTGTGCATCAACAACGCTTCTCTTGCTCCTGGTAAGAGGAGTTCTATTAGGAGGAGCTATTTACTTCCTTGCCTGTGAATATGCTCTTGTAGGCTTTACAGGGGCTTTCCCTTTCTTCTTTCCCACCTCAGATAGTGGCATGTCATCCTCATCACTTTCAACCTCCTTATCTCCTAAGAAAGGAGTTAAGGAAGGCCTTGGTTTCTCCGACCCTTCCTCTTTATTAACTTCTTCCAAAGGGGCCATGCCTGTATTTCTAATAGTCATAGAGCCTTCAAAGTCTTCACTCGTATTTTCTTTCTCACTTTCTGATTTAGAATCCTCATCTTCACTTTCTTTTTCATTATCTCCTACACCCTCATTGCACTTACTCTCAGAGTTTTCTTCTCCTTCACTTTCCTTTTCTTCTTCTGAATCTACCAATTGTTCACCCTGTTATTCTTCTATTTCACATATATTATCCTTTTTTGATTCACCCTCATCCTCACTTTTCTTTTCCTCAGAATTGTGATCTTTATCTTCTTCCCCTTCTCCCTCTTTAATTGTTTCCTCATCATCAGTCTAGCTATTAGAACTTCCATCAGAACCTTCATTATCCTCTATTTCCTTCTCACCTTCTCCCTCAACCACAGGCTAGTCTACAACTGCTTTTACGTTCACAGGCTGTACTACAACCTCCTTTTCTACTACAGTAGTCTCTACATGTGTGGTGTCTCTCAAAGGTTCAAATATTTCTAAAGGGGACACATCAATGGTAGAAGCCAGAATATCATATTTTGATGGGGAAGGTTTTACCTAAGCAACTTTGTCGATTGCATGTTCCCCCAGAGTAATAGGACCCTTAGCTTCTGGTTCCCCCTTAACAACAATACTATCAATTTGTTTTCCACCTTTTACTAATTTTCTTGAAGAAGCCTTGACCTTTGTCGGTTTGGAGGTGATCTGTGGGGTAGTTACAGTTGCTCGGGTGGTTATTTTTTGAGATGGAGGTACAGAAATGGTAGAGGATTGAGGTGGAGGAGTGATAGTGGGTGCTGGTACAGTGATATCAGAGGATAGAGGTTGAAAAATAGCAGGTAATGGTCCAGAACTAATTATTGAATTTACACTTATCTTTGGCTTAGACTTCTCAATTTTGGATTTAGACGCAGGTTTTGAGGATGATTTTGTTTTTGAGGGAGTCTGGCTAGTCTTTGTCATGGTGGAGTGAAGACAAGATGATTTCCTTTGTTTCTTGCTTAGGGTTGAAGAGAAACAGTGAATTGGGAGAGGTGTTAAGAGATGGTTTTAAAGGAAAGTAGTCCCGATTTGACTCGAAGGAGAGAGATTGATTTGAGTTCCGGTCAGACTCTAACAACGAATATATTTGACGAATGGACTTTTAGAATTAATAGGAGTCTTACCTTGACGAAATTCCCCCTTGATCCTTGACTTTGATAACAGATATAATTGATGCCTACTTGATTAAGGAAGTCTGAATGTAGCAGTAACTCAAGTTATTAAGTTTTAATGAATTTTAGATAAGATGGCATGTACCTGAGTCAAAGAACCAACTCTTTTGCGATTCCCTAGTCCCTCTGCAGTAAAGCTTCAGACACAATAGGTTAATATCATAAGACACACTCATCAGTTAAATTTTTGAGGCAAGTTGATATACTTAGAACAAGTATGAGATTGAATCAAGTATTTGATACCTCATACATCTACAACTATTGACCTTTTTTTTGTCTTAGCCAATCATTAGGGTTCAACTTAGTGGGATGACTTGATTAATCCTAGTTCTAGCCTGTTTATTTCAAAATGGTCCCTACTCAGTGCCTTAGTGAAAGTGTCAACAATTTGACCTTCAATTTTACAGAAATTTATTGAGATATTTTCCTTTTCAACAATATCTCTGAGGAAGTGGTGTCTGATGTTAATGTTCTTAGTTCTCTTATGTTGACATGTATTTTTAGTAATATTTATAGTGCTAGTGTTGTCATAGAATATAGGAATACAATCAATAAAAATACCATAGTCTCTGAGCTGCTGCCTTATCTATAGCAATTGTGCACAACATGATGTTGCTGCCGCATATTCTGCTTCAGCTATAGATAGGGCCACTGAGTTTTGCTTCTTTGTTATCAAAGACACAAGGCAATAACCAAGGAAGTGAGCTGTTCCTGAAGTGATTTTCCTGTCAACATGAAAACCTGCATAGTCAGCATCAGCACAACCAACTAAGTCAAAGTTATATCCTCTTGGATACTACAGACACAAATCATGAGTTCCTTTATGGTATCTAAGTATTCCTTTGATTGCTTTTAAGTGAGACTCATTGGAACTTGTCTGAAACCTTGCACATAGACCTACACTAAACGCAATATCAGGCCTGCTTGCAGTGAGATATAGCAGTGAACAAATCATTCCTCTGTACAATTTTTGTTCTACATTTTTCCCTTCTTCATCTAGATCAAGATTTGTTGCAATGGCAATAGGAGTATCAATTGACTTTGAAGAATCCATGTTGAATTTATTCAAGAGTTCTTTGATGTATTTGCGCTGGTGAATCATGGCTCTAGTAGGTGTCTGCTTAATCTGTAGCCTAAGAAAGAAATTCAACTTACCCATGATGCTCTTTCCAAATTCATTCCCCATCATTTCAGCAAATTGTTTACAAAGTATTTTATTAGTGTCTCAAAAATAATATCATCCACATACACCTGTACAATCAGAAGATTCTTTCTTTCGTTCTTCAGAAATAGTGTATTGTGCACTTTTTCCCTTAGAAAGTCATTATTTAAGAGAAATTTTAAGAGCCTCTCATACCAAGATCTTGGAGCATGTTTCGGACCATATAAAGCCTTGTACAATTTGAAGACATGATCAGAGAACTATTCACTTTCAAAGCCAGGAAACTGTTTAACAAACACTTCCTTCTTTAAGTAGCCATTCGAAAATGCACTTTTTACATCCATCTGATATAGTGTAAATCCCATATATATAGCAAAGGATATCAACATTCTGATGACTTCCATTCTGGCTATTGGAGCAAATGTTTCATCATAGTCAATTCCTTGTTCATGATTGTATCTCTGAACCACTAGTCTGGCCTTATTCCTTGAGATATTTCCTTGCTCATCCAGCTTGTTCCTGAACACCCATCTGGTTCCTATAACAGTTCTGCTTTTGGGTCTTTGTACCAAATGCCAAACCTTGCTCCTTTCAAATTGGTTTAGCTCCTCTTGCATGCCCATTATCCAGTCTAGATTCTTTAGGACTTCCTTTATGTTCGCAGGCTCTATCTAAGAGAGAAATGCAGTGAGTGCACATAATATTCTCAAGAATGATCTTGACTCCTGCATTTGGATTAGAAATTATGTTTTCAAGGGGATGAGAGCTTTGGTGTTTTCATGGCCTAACTTGTAGACCCAAAGATTGTTTAGCAGAGGAGTGCCCTAAAGGACCAGCATTAGTGGGTGCAACTTCGCTTGTCTGAGTATCTGTTAGAGTTGTTCTTTCTTCTTCCTATTCTTCCTGATCACTTTCATCACCTTTCTGATTACCTGATACTCCTTCAAGATATTGCTCAGATTCTCCAGAAGTCTTTTTCTCTGTGATCCCTATGTCATAGTCTTCATCCTGCAAACCTTTCTCAGCCATGTTGTTAGATTCATCAAAGATTACATGAACATTTTCATCCACACACATAGTTCTTTTAGAAATACTTTGTCTTCTTTATTAAGTGGTGAATATCCTAAGAATACTCCCTCATCACTTCTATCATCAAATTTACCTAAAGTTTTTTTGTCATTGTTGTGCACAAAATATTTACAACCAAAAGCTCTTAGGTGAGTGATGTTGGGCGTTCTTCCTCGAAATAACTCATAGGGAGTTTTCTCAAGAATTAATCTGACCATGCACCTATTTAACAAGTAAAGACTTCCTCAGCCTAGAAACTTTTAGGAAATCTACTAGCAATTAGCAAAGACTTGCCCATATCTTCTAGAGATCTGTTCTTTCTTTCCACAACACCATTTTGTTGTGGAGTTCTGGGTGCAGAGAAGTTATGTTCAATGTCATGAGGGCTACAGAATTCAAGAAATTTAGAATTTTCAAACTTAGTTCCATGATCCGTTCTTATACTTGACACAACACTTCCTAGTTTCTGTTGAATCATTCTGACAAACACACAAAATACATCAAATATTTCATCCTTAGAGGCTAGAAACAAGGTCCATGTGTACCTATAGAAGTCATTAACAATAACAAACCCTACTCTTTACCGTCATGGGCCCACATAGGTCAATGTAGAGAAGTTCAAGGAGTCTGGAGGTAGTGACAACTTTTTTAGATTTAAAAGATGAACTTACATGTTTACCTTTGACACATGCATCACAAACCTTATCAGATGCAAACTCAACTTATGGTAACCTAAGGGCCAGGTCCTTTTCTGCCAGCTTATTAAGTTGAGACAAACTGGCATGACCCAATCTTCTATGCCACAGTAGCGGATCATCTTTCACTACACTTAAACATGTATTCTCACTCCGAGGAAGAGACATAATCGATATCTTATAGACATTGTTATGTCTCTTACCTTTCAGAATAATTTCATTAGTATCGAGTTTAGTGACAATACAGATTGTTGAATTGAACTTTACCTCATTACCTTTACCACACATTTGAGAGATACTGAGGAGATTATGCTTGAGTACAACTTCATAGTATACATCCTCTATAGCATGAGAGAGTGATTCACCAACTTTACCAATACCTGTTATTTGTCTCTTCTTCCCATTTCCAAAGGACACACTCCGTCCTTAGAAGGCTCTCAGTGAGAGAAATTCTTCTTTTTACCAATCATATATCTTGAACAGCCACTGTCTAGATACCAATCTTGATTGTTTCCTCTCACTTTAGACTACAACAAAAATCGCAGGTTAGTTTTGGGAACCCAGACAAGCTTGGGTCCCTTTTCATTGGAAAAATGTTAAACCAAATCTCTTTTTGCCCAGAAAGGAAGGACCACAATGTCTTTTTCTTATCTACCTTAATCATCTTAGCTTGAACAGAGGAAGTGGCTATGGGTTTTTCATTTATTTCCTTATGCTTAGGTAGGCCAAAAGTATTTTTGAACTAAGCATGAATTAAAGCACGGAAACTATCTCTAAAGTGTCCTACCTTTCCACAGTGAGCGCACATCCTATTATCAGAAATTCTTACATACTTAGTATAATGACCCGATCAGTCATTTTATGTATTTGAGCCTCATTTCTCCTTTAGACGCATCACACATGTATATTTATGGCTTTGTTACTTGCGGGGTTGATTAGTTTTATTCCGGGAAGGTTTTGGGTTGATTTGGACTCTTTGATTCTTGGTTAAGAAGCCTAAGTTAAAAATATTGATCAAAGTTTGAGTTTTGTGAAAACGGCTGCAAAATTGAATTCGGAGGTCCATAGGTTGATTTGACTTGTTTTACCAAAAGTTAGCAATTTGAGGTTTAGAAGATTCCCTAAATTTGACCATAGGTTGACTTTATGGCTATCGGGTTTGGAATTTGGTTCTGGGACTTGGAATAGGTCTGTTTTGCTATTTGGAAATTATTTGTAAAATTTGGTGTCATTTGGAGTTGGTTTGATCAGATTCAGACGCTTGGTTGCAGTTCTAGAGGTTCTTGAGTGTTCTTTTAGAAATTCATGCGTTTTGATGTACGATTCGTGGTTCTAGATATTATTTTAGAATTTTGACCATGCGAGAGAGTTTGTATGATATCTTTAGACTTGTGTGGATGTATGGTTTGGATCCTCAAGGGCTCGGATGAGTTTGGCACGTGTTTCGGAATAGTTTCGAGCTCGAACAGGTTTGCTGATGTGCTGATGCCTCAGGTGTTGCAATTGCAAACACCAACATTGTAATTGTGATCTTAGTAGGGGGTCTCAGGTATCGTATTTGCGATTCCTGGATCTTAATTTAGAATTAGTACTTGGGCTGGGTAGTCTCGCATTTGCGACATTTTAGTCGCGCGATGGGAGCAGGCTTCACACGAAGCCATTGTTGCAGTTGCGACTTCCCCTTAGGCTTCCAGGAGCCACAATTACGAGTCTTTCTTCACAATTGCGAACCTAGTGTCACTGTTGCGACATCTGCAACCTAACAAAAGGGGCTGGAAAGTCGGGATTTGAGTTCATTTCTCTCATTTTAGAACCTTGGGCTCG